AGGCAAAAGACTGCATTCAGAACTCATGAAGGGCATTATGAGTACTTGGTAATGCCCTTTGGTTTAACCAATGCACCCTCTACTTTCCAAGCACTCATGAATCAAGTCTTAAGGCCTTTCCTCAGAAAATTTGCCCTGGTTTTCTTTGATGACATTCTCATATATAGTAAAATTTGCCATTTGAGGAAGGTATTACTTGCACTGAAGGAGAATCAGTTAGTTATAAACTCAAAAAAATGTTCTTTTGGGCAATCTGAACTGGTATACTTGGGCCATATAATATCTGGAAGGGGAGTTGCTGCAGACCCTACCAAGATAGAGATTATGATTCATTGGCCAAAGCCTAAGGATGTGAAAGGATTGAGGGGATTTCTGGGACTTACTGGCTACTACAGACGATTTGTAAAAGGTTATGGCAAGATTGCTTTACCTTTAACACAGCTTCTAAAGAAAGACAACTTCCAGTGGGGGACAGAGGCTACAAAGGCGTTTGAGGAATTAAAGAACAGGATGACCACTCTACCAGTTTTGGCAACCCCAGATTTTGATAAGATCTTCATTGTAGAAACAGATGCTTCAGGTACAGGTCTGGGGGCTGTTTTGATGCAGGAAGGTCGACCTATTGCATATATCAGTAAGGAATTGTCTAAAAGAAACCAGAACAGGTCAGTCTATGAGAGAGAGCTGATGGCTATTGTTTTGGCAGTCCAAAAATGGAGACCCTACCTGTTAGGGAGAACTTTTGAAGTCCATACAGATCAGAAGAGTTTAAGATTCTTAACAGAACAAAGATTGTTGGGGGAGGAGCAACAAAGATGGACTTCCAAATTACTGGGTTACAATTTCATTATCAAGTATAAACCTGGAGTGGAGAATAGAGCTGCAGATTCATTGTCCAGAAGACCCTCTCTCAATGTTATTTCTATAGTCACTTCACAGGAATGGGAAGGTTTGGAGGAAGAGTCACTTCACAGTTTCTTACTTTATTTCCACTTTATCAAGTCATTATCAATCACATAATTCTACTTTTCTTAAAAATCACACCACCCTCTTCTGTCCCAATATTAGAGGGACGGAGGTAGTAACATTTATGGATGGAGCGACAGTTGCTTGAGAACGAAGTAATTTTCCTAAAGTGACAGCTAAGACAAGAGAGACTTTTAACTGAGTGAGTAATTATTATGATAAGTCAATTGGAATGCTAAATATATTCGAGAATTCCCGATTTGAAAGTTGTTTTCCAGTCCAACCATCATGCAAACCAACACCTTTTGGCCATTTCTCACATCAAAATAGATTTCTTTTTGGGGCTGGGGGTGGTGTGGGGGGAGCTATCAGTCACAACCTTTATGAATGTTTCTCCATAGGTTACGTTCATACCTTCATCAACCTAACTTTGAAGTGCACCAATTATTATGCATTCCATATAGCAACATCCAATCCTTAATCCCAAAAGACTTTAGAGCAGATAGCATGAATCGACACATGAAATCAGAGGAAAAAAAATAAGAACGATAAAAAGATTAGAAAGATAAAAAGATAAGAAAAGATAAAATAAGATAAAAATAATAAGATAAAGATAAAATGGAAAAGATAAAAGATAAAAAGGATAAAACGATAAAAACATAAGAAAGATAAAAAGAGATCATTCCTCCACACAAACATTCTCTCTCCACTTTGTTCTCTCCAAAGTCATATTTTCATTCAATCCGATAACAGGCATATCACTTCTGACTCCTCTAATCTATGTATATTTGGATCTTCTTCTCCCTCTCCTCAGAACTTCTTTTGCCCACCTCTCAACTCATCTAACAAGCGCATCAATCAGTATTCTACGCACATGATCAAACCACCGCACTCGAAACTCTCATATCTTATCTTCAATAGGTGTTGCTCACACGTTTTGTCTGATTGTTTCATTCCTCAGGCAGTCTTTTTTCAGCACGCCCACACACTCAACCCAACATGTGAATCTCAAACACACTCAATTTTTGAATGTCACATTGTTCCACCGTCCGACACTCTATGTCATACAGTAGTACAAGCCTAATTATTGTCCGATAAAACTTACCTTTCAGTCCAGCCGGCATATCTCGATCACATAGAAGTTCTGACGCATTCTTCCATTTCATCCACCATGTTATGGATTCTATGGGATACATCTCCATCTAGTTCACCGTCTTTCTGAATTATGAAGCCCAAGTAATAGAACATATCACGGACTGGTATCTCCTTACCATCTAGGGTAATCTCATTGTTACCGCAGTTTCCACCTCCACTAAACTTGCACTCCATCAAACTTGCACTCCATCAAACTTGCACTCCATATACTCAGTCTTGATTTGTCTCAGTCTCAAACCCTTGTTCTCCAAAGTTTGTCGTCATACTTCCAACTTTGTTTTAACGCCTGAATGTGTCTCATCAATCAATATAATTTCGCCAACATCATGCACCACGGTATATCTTCTTGAATTGCCTTTGTGAGTTCATCCATGACTATAACAAATAAAAAAAGACTCGAGGCCAGTTCTTGGTGCACTCAGATAGTAATAGGGAACTCTGCAGTACTCCATACACTATTACGTACACGTATCAACCACTCGACCCCTCTCTCTTCCAAACTTCTCCAAGCCTAGATCGGTATGGCATCTGGACCCACTTCTTCCGCCCCATCTTTCTTGAGACTTCTGTCGTTTGAATTCTTCTGATAAAATCGTGATTCAGCATACAATTTGGTATCGCAAGAACATCAATATCTCGCGCTTTATTCATATTGAACAAAGTATCTAAGTATGACCTCCACCTCTTTTTTATTTTCTCGTCCTCCATAAGTACCTTTTGATCCACATTTTTCACACACTTAACTTTTCTGATATCTTGAGTCCTACGATCACGAAGACGAGCAAGTCTATAATTATCTTTTTCTCCTTCCTTAACTCCTTATTCAATTTCCCTCGTGCTTCCTTATCTAATTATTCGATGTTCTCATTGCTTCAAATATTTTCCAACTTTTTATAGCATCCCTTTTTGTTCCTTAGGACTTGTTGCACCTCATTATTCCACCAAAATGTGTCCTTTTAGGTGACAGACATTATTTACATTCTCCAAATATCTCCTTTGTCACTTTGTTAATGGTCTACTTCATTGATAATCACACATCGTCCACATGTGACTCATTATCAATACACCATATGTCTTCATTAAACATTTTGTGTGCAAAGCTTTGTTGGAGATCCTCCTCAAGCATCCACCACTTTATTTGTTACTACACTGGTTGCTTAATCCACCTCATATGGTTCTTACCTCGAAAATCAAACACAAGCATCCAATGCAAGTGACAACACTTTAACCTGAGATAACCTTACAATGAGTATAGATAATTCTCTAATTAGTCCGTACCAAGAAGTAGTTAATTTGGGTATTATTAGCTCCACGTATAAGTCACAAGGTGAGAGTCTCTTTTCAACCAAATGTTCATTATTGCTAACACATGTCATTTTCATCATTTTCATTTACCCCATTGCCGCAAAGGCTCTCCCACCTACGGTGGGGTAAGAGGGGGTCGGATGTACGCAATCTTACTCCTGCACTAAAGCACAGAGAGACTGTTTCCGGATGACCCATAGTGAAAATCGCGTCCAAAATTGCATGGACTGACTGTTGCTTCATAACAAAGAAGCGCAGACAGTTTAGTGAGCCATTTTGCTTTATTCCATCATAATCTTAGCTAACACATGTGTCGAGGTAAAATCCAAAATGTTCTTTCTCGCTTCATTTTTAGTCCCAAAATCATGGCCGCCATTAATACGCTCAAAACCATCATGATTGTAGCCCACATGCCCGTTGAGGTTGCCTCCTATGACCAACTTCTCTCTCCTTGAGACTCATCGCACCACTTTCTCAAGATTTTACCAATATCATTGAGTGATAAAAGCATATAATATTATAATCTTTGTGGTGCAAAAGCACTTACGATGGACATGGTCTCATCCCTCATCACCACTTTAATGCTCAACATGGTCACGAACCAAAATAATCCTTATTTCAAGTTTGGTCTTCTCTTTCCCTGAATACCACAACATAAAACCTCTGAGATTAATCTCTCGTGCCTTCTCTCCAACCGATTAAGCTTCATGCACGCACACAATGTTGATATTCTTCCTCCTCATAACCTTGACTACCTTAAATAATATTCCCGTAAGAGACCCAATGTACCATGTCCAAAAGCGCAATCTAGAACTCCACTTCCTATTCATAATACCACCTCGGGCCCCAACACGCCCTTACATATTTGACACCATCCACGGGCATTGGAGTGGTGTACCGCTTTTGACGATAACCTAGCTACCTTAGCATTCATATCACCAAACCCAAGTCTATGAAGTGTAACGCACGCTTGCATATTTGACACCACTCTTGGCGGAATGATGACTAAGTGATATTCATATTGTTGGTTGACCTAGTTGTTGTGATATTCATACTGTTGGTTGACCTAGCTGTAGCGACATTCATATTTTGATTCATGTCATGTGATGTGACTAAGTGACATTGTTGGTCATCACGCGCCTTTCGTAACACCCTCCTCCTTTATCCTGACTTGGGATAGAGATCATGCCAAAAATGATCTCATAACGGAGTTTTATAATTCATAATTTCATATCATATTCTGAAAAATACCAACTTTCTACGTGATAGGTCCTTCCTTTTTTACCACATATCTTAATAAAAATAAACTTAACAAAGATGGCGTATGTTCCACATTAGTGTTCCCATTCACCATTCTATAGTCAACCCAGCTCCCTTTTGATCTCTAATTTTATGTATCGAACTGTAATCACATTCAAATTTGATTTTTGCAATTGGATAGAACTTTTTTGTGGGGTTACTAAGTATTTCAATTATGTGGTGGTTAATTGCTCACCAACGTCAAGCATTTACACATGGGGTACAAAGGTGTGACTAAATTGTCTTGTAAAAATACTTATTGAAAAATAATTCAC